GGGCTGCTGCGGCGGCGGCGCGGCGGGCGGTGTCCCCGCAGGGCGCGGAAACGCCGCGGTTAACGAAACCGGCCCCGCGGAGCTGCCGCCTCCCGGCCACGCGGGCGGCCTCGGGCCTGTGCCCCAGGCGCGGCGGGGTTTGCGGCCTGGCCCTCGGTGCTGGGAGAGCCTGGAGCGGGACGGGGGCGGTGTGAGACGCGCTTTTCTTTTTTCTTTTCTTTTCTCTTCTTTTCTTTTCTTTTCTTTTTTTTTTTTGATTCTGAGAAAGTAAAAGGGTTTTTTTTTGATTTTTTTTTCTTTTGAATTCTGCGTAAAAGGTGAACATCTGGCATATCTCAGAATATTTTTTAGGGAATGAATTACCACATAAGTTTAGCTGCTTTAGCTGTCTCTAAGGTTTAAGACTCTGCATATCAGGGCTTCTGTTTTGCATAATCCATTTCTGCCTTGATTTTTTTTTAAATAAGAATCACATAGATTATCTGTGAAGGGTAATAATGATTTTTAGTGGTGCAGATCTGTACCCTCTACTGGCAAAGCTATAGTCTTACTATTTTGATATTTAATTTTTAACTTACAAAGGATGTTTATTAATGAAATCAACACCGAAGACACGTCCCCAAAATTCCTTAACAAAACTGACTTTTGATACTTTTAAAATTATGATTATTATTAGAATAACCTAAGATGTGAGGAAGAACTGATCATTGATGAGAGGAAGTGCTCACCTTGCACAGCATTCTCTTTTCCCTAAGAAAAGTACCAAAAGTACCAAAGTAGTACAAAAAAGTACAAAAAAAGTACAAAAAGTACCAAAGCAGTAAAGTACCCTGTGCAGTCAGATCATGTTTGTATGACTAAAATAGTGTCAGCCATTTGTCAGCAGATGAGCTGTTACTTTACATGCTTAAGAAGTGTTTACCTTGTGAAGAGGAAAGAAATTGTATTAATGAGTTTGCCAGGCAATGTAAAAAGATGTGGGTTCAAAATGTAGACTTTTCAAAACAGATAACTGCCAAGCAGAACTTTTACAGCATGTGTTGGCCATGCAGAGCTTTTTACACTCTTCCAGGGTTATTTGACTTGAGCTGTTACAAAAATATGAGCTGTTGTCTCATGCTTCAAATCCTCTGAAGCTAGAGTATAGGAGTGATATTCTTCAGGTGAAACACATTTCTGTCTAGATTCTTTCCCTCATTTTCTTTGAAGCTATCATTTCGAAAGAAATTGTATTAATGAGATTGCCAGGCAATGTAAAAAGATGTGGGTTCAAAATGTAGACTTTTCAAAATAGATAACTGCCAAGCAAAACTTTTACAGCATGTGTTGACCATGCAGAGCTTTTTACACTCTTCCAGGGTTATTTGACTTGAGCTGTTACAAAAATATGAGCTGTTGTCTCATGCTTCAAATCCTCTGAAGCTAGAGTATAGGAATGGTATTCTTTAGAAGGTGAAAGACATTTCTGTCTAGATTCTTCCCCTCATTTTCTTTGAAGCTATCATTTCTATGTACTTGTTAAAGTAAAAGCAAGACGTTCTGTTCTCAGACTTTTGGTTGGAATAAATTACAGGAGTTGGGGGAGATTTGGGGAGGGGACCTGATGTTACTGTTTTGTCTTGCTTTGTTAAAGTTAAAAACTGCTTGCTTTCTTTTCCAAGGAAAACCTAGGAGTAACAGGAGAGGCAGGTGCTTCTGTGCATTTGAGGATAAGAGTCTTATATAAGCAACCCAACTGGATTTTTTTCTAAAGTATAGTTACAGTTAAGTTACTATATTTTAGATATACTTTAAACCTAATTATTACATTAATGTAGTAAGATGTCTACTGTAGTATGGTGCTACAGCTATGACACAGGTGCGCTCCAAGCTTAGATTGTGGTATAAAGCTGTGGGGCTATAAGCAGTACGCACAATATTCTGCATAGTGTGATGTTCCCAGTCTGCAAGCCCGCCAGTGCTGGCGAGACCTGCTCCAGGCAGCTTTGACGTGAGCGGTGGTGCCTGGGTGTGAAGCCACCCTTGTGTGCCAGCCTGCTGCTACAGTGAATCTACAGCGCCCCTGAAAGACTGGAATTTGAACAAAGAGAAGAGTTATCCAAGCTGGAGAAAACTCAGAAGTGATTTTTGAATATTATTTGATAGTTCTTTCAAGAGTCACGGCTGTGTTACACTTGCAAGCTGGCGTTAGAGGGAGAAAACCCCGGTTGCTTGTGCAGTGTGTACACTGTAATACCTAAAAACACTAGTGATGGAAAAAGAACCCTGTTGTTTGCAACAATCAGAGTGATAATTTCAGTTCTCTGGTTTTATTCATGAGACTAAATAATCTACAAGAATGGTTTTAAGAGGTTTGGTGAAATTTTGTATGGATAGCATTGCAGGTGGAAGAGGGACTGATAGACATTATATTAGACTGTAGCTTGTATTTAGAGGAGGTTCAGCGTTGCATCCATACAGGAAGGCTTCAGGCGTTAGAGGCCAAGTGCGCTGGGGCTCAGCACTGTTTGGCAACCAAACTGTGCCAGACTCGGATTTATGGAGGCTGGGAGAGCTGGGCAGCTGCTTTTGGCAGGAAGATCAAAATGAAGAGTGGGAGGAAGATGGAGTCTGTCCTGAGGGGCAGGAGGAAGCATCTGTCTTATTTTGTGTGGAAGCAGGTGACTACATGTAAGACTATACCTAAACTTTGTTTTGGGGCCCCGTGATGCTGACTGGATTGTGTTGACATAGTTGATAGCGACTGATAATACTGCTGAGAGGAATGCTTTTCTTTGTAAAGTTATTGTTTAAGCTGTTTCAGTTAGGTATTGAGGATGTGTTGTAGCATATGGGTCCACTTTTATACCTTGGTGGCTGTTAATTATTTAGAATTTTCACAATGATATGTGTGTGTTAAAGTTTATGGATGCTATGAACACGGCTGTAATGGTGAAGGAGACTCGTGAGTTAAGCAGATCTAATTGCTGGAAGTTTGTGATGAAATAAATAGATGCATGAGGCTTTCGGGAGTTTCTTGTGCGTTGAAAGTAGGGAACCAAACTGTGCTCAAAGGTTAACCTTGTTTGTTTAACCTAATCCTGGAATAATCTGTTTAGTCTCATCTCTTTGGTGAAGTGTTTGGCTCTTCAGATAAAACCTGTATTTTTCTAAAAGTTTAAGGCTTTTCTGAACTTTTTACAATCTTAACTTAAAATAATACAAAGATGAATATGGATTCATTTGCCGTTAATGCAGCAATATTGGATGCACCTGATAATCTAGAGCTGTTTGCTTGTAGATGGACACATCTGCCCCCTGCACACATCAGAGACAATGGGCAGCTTTTTGTTTTAAGCGATGTTTGTGTAGGAATAGGAGCTTCCTCCTCCCCATTTAGGCAGGAGTATTTATAATACTTTAAGGCCTTTTTCTCTCAGTACTGTGGTTGAGCTAGCATCTCTGCTGGCTCATAATTTTAAAACTTGGGGCTGAGTTCTTGAATATTGAATCTTTTTTCCTTTTCCCCTCCAGCAGGATATAGTACTGCAAACCAGCTTTAACCTCAGCTATGCAGAACTCAGATAGTACAGAGGAGGAAAAGACTGTGACTAACGACACTGCAAGCAATGCAGACAGCACAAACAACGCAGGCAACGCAAACAACGCGGCCAGTACGGACAGTGCAGGCAACGCAGACAACACAAAGAGTGCAGACAGTGCAGGAAACACAGGCAGTGCAAACAGTACACACGATGCAGACAATGCAGGAAACGCCGCGGAGACCACAGCAGACGAGCAGAATATGGACTTCACTACAGAAATTATGAGTGTGACAGAGATGGAGCAATCACCTGATAGTTCCGTTGACTTGAATGAAGAGAACGCACAGGAGGGTGAAATTGAAACAGATTTTGAGTCTTGCTTCCCTCCAGATTATGACAAGTTCTGGAAAGTAGTAGAGGACAATCCCCAGGATTTCACAGGATGGGTATATCTGCTACAGTATGTAGAGCAAGAGGTTAGTATATACCTCCTTTTACCATCAGCCTTCTAGACATAAACAGTTCAAACTAAAGTCATGGATATTTCAGTAATGAGTCTCCAAGTTTAGATCTGGTGTTCATAGATATGGTTTTCAGACAGGAGCACTTAACAGTGCTTAATGGACAGCACACATCAGCAGAGATCACAAAATAAACACAGTATTTAAGACAAAGTTAAAACTATTTGTTTTAAAAGCATTAATCCTGGAGAGCTTTTGTCTCTCACAAACTGGAACATTTTTTTTTTTTGTAAAAATAAGCCTTTGCCACTGGGCTTTGTACTTAGATTATAACCCCTCTCGAAAAAAAAAAACAGTTAATACTTGCCTGTTAGTGGTGATGTGTTGCACTTCAAGTTTTTGGGTAGTAAATAATCAGCAATAACACAAATGTAGAAATCTCACTGGCTTTTAAAAAGGTAGTTGTTTTTGCAAATTAAGAATATTTGTGTTTTTCCATGACCTATGTAAAATTACACAGATGCTGATATTTACTGCTGTTACCGAAACTCTGAACTGACCACTGGATTCATTTAAATGGTTTTAAGGAAATGTTGAAGGTGGGGTATGATGGCCTGCAAGTTGGAGGCTGGGAGTTCAGCCAGCTAGTTCAGCTTCTCAAGATACTTATTTGTACTTGGGCATGATCAAAGTTAAACAGAACTTGTTAGGTGTGTTTGATGTTGGTTTATCGTTTTAGCTTTTGAATAAGAGTAGGCTTGGTCTGCACCACTTGCCATTTGTTAGTTTCATTTGCATGAAAGCAAAGAGAAGTCAGTGGCTTTTCACAGGAGATGTAGCTAAGCTGTGCAACTCCTTACTGCAGAATATGTCAGTACAGAAGTTTATGTGGATTCTCAAAAAACAACAGGAGAAATTAATGGGGGAAAAAAAACAAAAAAGTGGAAGGCTGTAATTAAAATACTCTATCTGGACAAATTCCTGAGCAGCAAATTTTCCGTCTAGGAAAGTGTTCTGAGGAAGCTTTGCTGTGATTTTTGTCCCACTCTTATTCTTCTTGTAGTCCTGTTTGTTGTTCTTTGGGGCAGTTTACTGGGAAAGATGGTTTGATTGCACGTTGTTCTCTGAGAAGAAAGCTGTCTCTAGTTTTGTTTTTTAAACTGCTCGTTGAAATGCTTCATTACTTTTTATTGTTTATTTCCCACAGAACCATATACCAGCTGCCAGGAAAGCATTTGACAAGTTTTTCACTCATTATCCATATTGCTATGGATACTGGAAAAAGTATGCAGATCTTGAAAAGCGACATGACAACTTTAAACAATCTGATGAGGTATGTAGGTAGCTGGATGTAGCTACTGCCATTGGTCCTGTTAGCCAAATAATGACTAACCAACTGCAAGTCATTTGGCTGCCAGACCCTACCGTATATGGTCAGATTTATAGGGATTTTGTTTGCACTTGTCACTTCTGTGGCATTTGTAGCTAATGTTTTCTCTCTTTGTTGGCAGGTGCGTTAAACCTCTACAGTTTGTCAAGCTTTGCAGTGCAAGCCTCTGTATTACACTGCAGCTTAACAAGTAGGGCAGGGCTTTTCTGTCACTTACATTTATTACTCATTTCAAAACAATATAGTTGGTTTGCTGGTCACAATTGCTACATCTTATTGCATTTTTGGTCAGACGCTGTCAATGATGCTCTAATGGGTCTGTGCCCTATGGTCTGTACCCCAAAGCCTGCCCACACAACCTGGTCAGAATGCAGGGACCGCTGCGCTTTGAAGATCAAGACTCTGCACGTGGAGATCAGAACATTGCCATGTTCTATCCAACCTCCACCCAAATGGTAATGGTAGATTATTTAAACAAAATTCCAGTAATTAGTATTTCTAAGGTTCACCGGATAACACAGTGTTGCCTCTCTATTAGGACACCATTAAGTACTTGAAGTACAGTTTATGTTCTCTTCATAGGTTTATCGCAGAGGGCTTCAGGCAATTCCTCTTAGTGTTGATCTTTGGATACACTATATAAACTTCTTAAAAGAAACCTTGGACTCTGAAGATCCTGAAACTGCCCCTGCTCTAAGAGGGTAAGTTGAAAGCAAACTAAGTGATACAGGAAACACATAAAACTATATAGAATTTGAGTCAGATGAATAGCTATAAGCTAAAGGACAGTCTGATAGCAGCCTGCAGTCACTTCAAGAGCTTTTACAGGGTCAGTAGGGGTAGATGGCATAATGTATATAAGGATTCCAAATTGTGTATTGGGAGGTTGAGACTAAACATCAGGACATACTTGGGTAAGCTCTAGGCTGGTAAGCACTGGAACAGGTTACTCGGAGAAGTCTAGGAATTGCCTTTCTTGGAGGTTTTTTAAGGTACGACTGGAGCACGTCTGACCTAACGTGTTGCTGGTGGTGGTCCTGCTTTGTCTAAGGGTTTGGACTGAAGTTTAACCCAAAACTCTAGTTGAACTAAATCAAAGCAGCTTGTAGCTGTGTGATTGGTGCTATTTTTTTTTTCTGATAAGCAACTAAAGCAGTTGTTTGAAAAGCTTTTCATAGTAATTTTTCAGCTTTAAGGGTTCTGTCTTTTGGTAGCATCTTGTATTTCTGCATGTGTCTTTTTGTGTTATCTTTACTCACTTTGTGATAGTTCTGGGCAGGAGGGAACAGCGAAAAGTTAAACTTCAGAAGTTTTGCTCTAGGTCTTTAGAAAATAATTCGAGGAATTTAAATAATGAATTTAAGCATGCTGCCTCATTGAAGAAGCAACTGTGAAATTACTTCCCCTTTCAGAACCTTTGAACATGCAGTCTTAGCAGCTGGGACAGATTTCCGTTCCGACAGACTGTGGGAAATGTATATAAACTGGGAAGATGAACAGGGGAACCTAAAACAAGTGACGTCCATATATGATCGTATCCTTGGAATTCCAACACAGCTCTACAGTCATCACTTCCAGAGGTAAAGAGGAAGCATTTAATTTTATTATTTTTAAGCATACTTCAGTCTGTTTATCCAGAATGTAGAAATGAACACTCAGAATAGTAACTTGAAATGTCTGCTGAAGTGATCTGTCCGCCCCACTGTTCATCATTCTTGAATTTCTTGTTGAAATGTGCAGGTTATGAGGATCTGACAAACAGAATTGCATTTTGTGCTTATGTTGTCCGAAGTTGCATCTTCGATATCGCTCTAGACTAATACAAAACTCCACTAGGATTTGTTACAGTGTTCTGATTATCCAGACTATTTACTAAAATATAAACTAACATTTATTTGTTTCTAACTCTTCCTAGGTTTAAAGAACACGTACAGAACAACGTACCCCGAGACTTTCTGTCTTCTGAGCAGTTTGTTCAGCTTCGCAAAGAGCTGGCGTCTGCCAATGGGCACGGTGGAGGAGACGGAGCCGTGGCGCCCGCCGGTGACGTGCCCTCTGGGACTGAAGACATAACCGACCCTGCTAAGGTGCGGGCGTTCCCCGGCGCTTCAAAGACCTTAATTGCAGAAAGTGTAGTATATTTGTAGATGTTTCTGTAGCTCTTACATATCAGTGATTGCTCTTTGGCTCATGCAATTACTGCTTGTGCGTACAGAACATCCCTTTGCAGCATTTCATAGATATCAAAGAAATGGAGTTCAAATATGAAAACTTTTGGAATGTATATTAACCATTCTAGACTAACAGATTAACAGCTGTGGTCTAAAAAATCTCATCATTGGTAGTGGTATGTGTAGATTCATAACTGAAAATATACACGTGCTGGAACCAAGCTTGACTTGGATCCAGTTTCACCTTGAATCTAATCAGCTTTAAGACATTTTCACTTAGAAAAGCTAGTCAGTGGTATTGCACTAAGAGCAAAGGCACCATCAGGGCACTATCTCTCACTTCTTGGTGTTCTGGATAGCATCCAACATCTCTGCTATCTTTGCTTTTTTAAATATATTCATACTGCTGTCATCATACAGTGTATTTAATAGCTGATAAATTACCTATATTACATTTTCTTTAAAAATTGTCTTTTAGCTAATCACTGAAATTGAAAACATGAGGCACAGAATCATTGAGACTCATCAAGAGATGTTCAATCACAACGAACACGAAGTCAGCAAAAGGTGGACATTTGAAGAAGGGGTAAGTTTGTTATTTTAATGCAAGGCAGCATGCATTGGAGTATTGAATGGAACTGTCTTGAACTGCGAATTCTGAGTTAAACAGAATTAAATAGCTTAACAGTTAAAGCTTTCCAGTCTCATGGGGCTTTGAACAAGGATCTAGTTCTACGCTTCTGCCCTTTTCGTTGCAGAAAGGTGAGTTCTCTCATCTGAGGATTTAAAAGTCTTTAAGCAGTAGTTAGATTCAGGATGATGCAAAAATACATTTGTTAAGCAACTTTTAAATATATATGCTTAAAGGATGGTATACGACCATGCTGCTTCATGTGTCTGGGGTATTACTGATTCGGTAATGAGAGGAAGGCAATGCTGATCCACAAGGTAAGCCTGCCCTTAACGAGGAATACAGAGAGATTCATATGCATGTGT